CACTGGCTTCGTGCTGGACTGCATGTACCCTGGCTTGGTGGTTATTACCCTAGGCTCCAGTGGTTGAATATGGCATGCACCTGGCTTCGTGCTGGACTGCATGTACCCTGGCTTGGTGGTTATTACCCTAGGCTCCAGTGGTTAATATTTTCTTGACCGGGGTACCTATCCTGTCGTATGCCCTGATGGTGTTCTCGTAACTTTCGGGTTGCCTGATCTGCCAAGGGCGATGGGACAGTGCATGACGCTATTGTTGTGTGCTAGGTTCAAAGAGAATTGTATGCTATATGCATGCAAATCCGCCCCGTTATTGTTCCTATTTCAAACTTTTACACTGTTGAAGCGATCCGGTTTGGCTTGCCATTCACGGGTTTGCTGCCTGGCATGCACCTGGCTTCGTGCTGGACTGCATGTACGCTGGCTTAGCGGTAAATATCCTAGGCTGCAGCGTTAACCATTAGTTCTATGCATTTGGGAAACCATTGTATGGGATTATTGGCGTACAACTTTGAGCGGTGGATCACTCGGCTCGTGTGTCGATGAAGAGTGCAGCCAACTGTGTGAATTAATGTGAACTGCATACTGCTTTGAACATCGACATCTTGAACGCATATTGCGGCTACGGGATATCCTGTGGCCACGCCTGTCCGAGGGTCGGCTTTTCATCTATCACGGCGCACATTGAGTCGTGGATTGGGCGAGTGCCTGCCGGCGTGTATACCCGCATATCAACGCGGGTTGCTGGTCAAAGGCTCCGTCCTAATAGTCCGGCCACAGCCTAGTCCGGTCTAGATGACTTGATTGAGATGCTGCGGTGGGTTGTGCTCGAGTCGTGGCTTAATGACATTATACACGCTCGGGAAGAATCGCACCTATCGTATACTACGTTGGTCACTTGATCTTGTCTCTATGGTTCGGTCTGTGGTTTGTACCGATGGTGTGTGTATTACGCACAAATTGTATAATTGACCCTGACCTCGGATCAGACGTGATTACCCGCTGAACTTAAGCATATCACTAAGCGGAGGAAAAGAAACTAACAAGGATTCCCCTAGTAACTGCGAGTGAACAGGGATTAGCCCAACACCGAAGCCTGCGGTTAATTGATCGTGAGGCAATGTGGTGTTTAGGTTGGCTTCAGACATTACTGCTCTGCCCCAAGTCCAGCAATGAGTACGGCTTCCCATTCTGGCCCAGAGAGGGTGAAAGGCCCGTGGGGGTAGAGATCAAGTGTGACAGTTCTGTTCTGAGCTACCCTTGGAGTCGGGTTGTTTGTGAATGCAGCCCAAAGTGGGTGGTAGACTCCATCCAAGGCTAAATACTTACACGAGTCCGATAGCAAACAAGTACCGTGAGGGAAAGTTGAAAAGTACTTTGAAGAGAGAGTAAACAGTGCGTGAAACCGCTCAAAGGTAAACAGGTGGAGTTGAACTGCAAGCTCTGGGAATTCAGCTGATGAGTGTGATTTGTGCTTGGGCATACTGGCCGCCTTTAGTGTCTGTTTAACCGCAGGTGCCTGCCTTTTCGGTGGGTATGTGTGAATCGTTTACATACGACGCACGCACTGTTGGTGTGAGGGTCTGCTTGTCAGTGCACTTTCTCAGAGTGTTCACCACGACCGGCACTGCTGCCTGTCTGCTATGGCCAAACTGATCAGGTCTGATTTCCGTCAGTCTTGGTTGGGTCGGCAGGTGACTCTTTGGCTCATCTATGGGCTGTGAGTGTTACTAGCCGGCTGTAGCGGAGCTGTGCGGTGTGTCGGAGATGGCGGCTTTGCATGCGTGCCTAGACCTTCGGGCTTTGTTGAGTCTGGTCGGCTCGTTACTAGCTTCGGCTGGTCGGCTGATGGCTTGATTTTGTCACGTTGGCGGTTGCGTGTGTGATTTGCTTTGGGCCAATAGTCTGTGGTGTAGTGGTAGACGATCCACCTGACCCGTCTTGAAACACGGACCAAGGAGTTTAACATGTGCGCGAGTCATTGGGTGTTACGAAACCCAAAGGCGAAGTGAAGGTAAAGGTTCGGCTTGTCCGGACTGAGGTGAGATCCTGTTGTCTTGCTCATACTTTCCAAGTTGCGAGCAGCGGGCGCATCACCGGCCCGTCCCATGACGTAGACATGTGACCTCGTGTTATGTGCACCGTCGGGGCGGAGCAAGAGCGTACACGTTGAGACCCGAAAGATGGTGAACTATGCTTGTGAAGGTTGAAGCCAGAGGAAACTCTGGTGGAGGACCGTAGCGATTCTGACGTGCAAATCGATCGTATAACGTGAGTATAGGGGCGAAAGACTAATCGAACTATCTAGTAGCTGGTTCCCTCCGAAGTTTCCCTCAGGATAGCTGGCATTCTGAGAAATAAACAGTTTTATCCGGTAAAGCGAATGATTAGAGGCATTGGGGATAAATCATCCTCAACCTATTCTCAAACTTTAAATGGGTGAGAAGCTTAACTCGCTTAATTGGAGTTTTGCATTGAATGTGAGTGCCAAGTGGGCCATTTTTGGTAAGCAGAACTGGCGCTGTGGGATGAACCAAACGTTCGGTTAAGGTGCCTAACACGACGCTCATGAGATACCACAAAAGGTGTTGGTTGGTCTAGACAGCAGGACGGTGGCCATGGAAGTCGGAAGCCGCTAAGGAGTGTGTAACAACTCACCTGCCGAATCAACCAGCCCTGAAAATGGATGGCGCTCGAGCGTTGGACCTATACCGGACCGTTGCTGTAAGCTGGGCCTATGCTGTGTGAGGGCAAGCTGCACTTGGTCCAGGCATGGAGTAACGGCAACGAGTAGGAGGGTCGCTGTGGCTAGCGGGAAGCCTCAGGCGTGAGCCTAGGTGAAGCAACCACAGGCGCAGATCTTGGTGGTAGTAGCAAATATTCAAGTGAGAACCTTGAAGGCCGAGGTGGAGAAGGGTTCCATGGGAACAGCAGTTGACCATGGGTCAGGCGGTCCTAAGTGATCCGGTAAATCGGAACAGAGACGGGGTGCCTGACATTGTCCGTTCGCGGGCTTTGTTCAGTAATCTGCAAAGTACTGTTGCATTGCAGCCCCCTGTAGCGAAAGGGAATCGGGTTAATATTCCCGACCCTGTCCACGGAGATTGGTGTGTGTCGGGCCTTTGGTTCGGCGTGCGCCCAGCGCGGTAACGCAACCGACCTCGGAGACGTCGGCGGGAGTTCTGGGAAGAGTTCTCTTTTCTTTGTTAGGAGTGCATCCACCCCCTGGAATCGGCTTGTCCGGAGATAGGGGGCTAGCCTCCGTAAAGCACCACCCTTCTTGTGGTGTCCGGAACGCTCCTGTCGGCCCTTGAAAATCCGAGCGAGGCAGTATAATTTTCGTGGCAGGCCGTACCCATATCCGCAGCAGGTCTCCAAGGTGAACAGCCTCTGGCAATTGAACAATGTAGGTAAGGGAAGTCGGCAAATTGGATCCGTAACTTCGGGAGAAGGATTGGCTCTGGGGGCCGAGTCAGACAGGCCGAGATCAGATACGTGTCGGTCCAGTTGGGGGCTGGTTTCTTTGCTGCTTTGTGTGCTTCGGTGCGCGTTGTGGTGAGGTTACTGGACTCTGACCCGGGTCGATCGTGGGCGGTTTCAGCTGTTAGTGTCGTGCAGCTAGCAACGCGCGAGGACTTGTTCCACGTTGCGTCAAGCGGCTGTACTTCCATGGTCTGGCGCGCGACGGCTAACTCAGAACTGGCACGGACCAGGGGAATCCGACTGTCTAATTAAAACAAAGCATTGCGATGTCCACTGATTGGTTTTGACGCAATGTGATTTCTGCCCAGTGCTCTGAATGTCAAAGTGAAGAAATTCAACCAAGCGCGGGTAAACGGCGGGAGTAACTATGACTCTCCACCACACTTTCTTCAACTTTTGTTGTATAACAATTTCGGCGTCTGTTTCCAATTCATTTCCTACGTTAAATCAAGTTCTTAATAGTTTTTCCCAAATTATCTTCTCACGTAATACACGTTTTATTGTGCAACGTCCTACTGCATATGCCTCTATTTCAATTCTTAGCTAGTTTCAATCTGGAATGTTATACTGCTTCCAAAATTTTGGTAATTTTTATATATTATCATTGTCTATTCTCGTGTTTCTTCTGTTTTTATTTTTGCTGTTGTGTGGGTTTGTTTGTTTGTGCTGGTTTAGTTGATCAAGTTGTACTTTGACAGTACCATCATCTCTGCATCATTAGTCACGGAGAGGGCCTATGAACGGTCCGTGACGCGAATAATAATTCGTCCTCAACTGCTAGCGCGTTCTGAATAACGAACTCTCTGGCTTGTCAGTTGTGTCAACGCAATATCAAAAGATGCCGGTCTCAACCCGCGCCGAAACTGACACAACCTCTCTACTACCTGATCCCTTTTCTTCCAATCCTTCGTCCAACCATTCATATTCCGACTCTTCTTCCACCTGCCTCATATGCTTCGGTGTCTTCTCCACACACGAGACTCTTCTTACGCATGTCGTGGCAGCTCACCACATAGTCTGCCGTCCATTTTCTACCCAACGTGATGTGCAAAAACTATTATGTATGCTTTGTGCAGCGGTTCTTCCATCCAACAGAGGTTTATCACAACATATCCGCCATCGACATATCTGTGAATACAATGAAATGCTCCAACGACGAATCAAGTCTCAGCCCGTGTCACGCATATGGTCGCAGTCTGATGATGCTTCGCTCCTGACGATCGCTGAACGTGAGACTAAAAATTTCCCCACCAAAAATGACCTGTGCCAACATATATCAACAATAATGACACGTAGGACTGCTGAAGCCATTAAAAGACGGCTCCTACACCTTCACTGGACGAAACCGTCTACCCCAACCCCAGACGCCATTTCGTACCAGGTCGCTCCCAGCACGCTCAATACCGACCCTATCACGTCCCAGGTGTCGCCTACACCTACACTGAACACTGAAGCTCACAAATCACATCTTCCCGTTAACGACTCACTAATAGACCTCAACCAAGCCCAACTGATACTCGACGCCACAACGTCGCCAGATGTGACGCCGCCCCCACTACCGCAGCTTCGCGTCGTCTTAACACCTCTATCGTCCCCGACCCAACTACGAAACCCTCCTCATGCAGATACAGCTCCCGACCTCATTAGGAACCCAATGCGAATACCACAGAATTACACCTGTGACTTAGACGCTTCATTTGAGATGTCTCCTCCGCGATTGATACACCCAGACATGTACAGTTATCAGTGTTCATCAGTCGAACAGGAAAAACTGTTAACAGCAGCAGTAGAACTCCTCCAAAATGAATGCACGAGAATAAGATCCTCTAGCCTACTTGCCTTCATACAACGTGACATCATGAATATGAGCGCTGAGGATGTATCCGCCTCCGTCAACAGCCATGCAGATACGGTTTTCCCCAGAACATGGGTTCCCTCCAAACCTAGGTATCATTATCGCTCCCAATTAAACATTTCTCGAAAGAAGATGAGGAAAATCGCTTACGCACGTATCCAGACACTATTTCATCACCGTCCAAAAGATGCTGCCAACACTGTTCTTGATGGTCGATGGATGAAACACCCTGTTGCTAGCCCATCCGACATTCACAACTTCGACAGTTTCTGGACCTCTGTCATGACTAAACCCAGCACTGTGGATAACCGGGAAATCATACAAATAGTCGACACCACACCATCCCTCATCGAACCAATTCTTCCCTCCGACGTAGCATGGGCGCTAAAAGAAATGCATGGTACCGCCGCAGGAATAGACCGATTGGCGTCCTACGACTTGTCACGATTTGGAAAGAATGGTCTGGCCGGCTACCTGAACACGCTGCTTGCCCTAGCATGTCTCCCCATGAACTTGTCAACCTCACGAGTGACGTTCATCCCTAAGTCACTAAATCCCACACACCCCGAAGACTACCGCCCAGTGAGTGTCGCCCCAACGATCACAAGGTGTCTACACAAAATTCTAGCCAGAAGATGGGTGCCACTATTCCCCCAAGAAAGGCTCCAATTTGCCTTCCTGCACCGCGACGGTTGCTTTGAAGCTGTTAATCTTCTCCACTCAGTTATTCGGCACGTCCACACACACCACACAGGAGGTTCCTTCGCCCTACTGGATATCTCGCGAGCATTCGACACAGTCTCGCACAACTCCATTATTAGAGCAGCGAAACGATACGGCGCACCCGAACTATTATGTAAATACCTTAGCAAATACTACGGTGACGCCACCAGCTGTCTCAATACCACGGAGTGTCATCCGACATGTGGAGTTAAACAGGGTGATCCACTTTCCCCGCTACTATTCATCATGGTCCTTGATGAAGTTCTGGAAGGTCTAGACCCTACGACCCACCTGCAAATCGACGGAGAGTTTCTAAACTACATTGCACATGCGGATGACCTTGTAATATTCGCTCCAAATGCAACGCTGTTGCAACAAAAACTGAACCGCATCTCCTCACTTCTGCACGAGGCTGGATGGTCAATAAACACTGATAAGAGCCGAACGGTAGACCTGATTTCTGGTGGCCACAGCAAACTTACAGCTCTTGCACAAACAGAATTCACAGTCGCCGGAACTCGTATCCCACCATTATCCGCTTCAGACTCCTTTACATACCTAGGGATACAGTTCAATTTCAAAGGTCGGTGCCCCGTTGACCATATCGAATCACTAAACAACTACCTACTAGAAATTACACGCGCCCCCCTTAAACCGCAACAGCGAATGAAAATATTAAGAGATAATCTACTGCCTAGATTACTCTATCCCCTGACTCTCGGAGTGGTTCATAAGAATACGCTGAAATCTATGGACCGGACGATACACGCCGCTATTAGAAAATGGTTAAGACTACCTTCGGACACCCCTGTAAGATCCATTTTGAATGTTTTGTGTGTTTGTGAAAATCCCTCCATGTATATACTTGTACTTTGTTCCTATTGATTCCCTTAGTTGTACATTGTTGTATTTTGATTACATTTGAGTTGTTAATACTTGTATTTTTTATTATAGTTTTTGTTTTCTTACGCATTCACTAAGTTTGTGTTTCTTCCTGAACTGCATCTGTGTTGTTTTACTTGACACTTGTTCTTGGCGGTAGCCATATTGATTTGTTCCTCCTGTTGTGTGTGATCTATCCAGCCAGGATAGAATAACGTTGATTTGTTGTGATTGGTAAATTTCTTGCATCCTTTATCAACTTTCTTATTTATTGTAATTAGATTTGATCAATTGAACAATTATTGGTTGGATAGCTGAGTGGTTATATTTGTTTAGGTAATAATGTACACTTAAATTTATGATAAATTATAGAACCGCTATCTTACCCAATTACTTTGTTTTGGTTTCAATCGGGCGAGGGCGCGTATCTAACTCATCCAGACAGCTGTCCAGCAGTCCAAACGTAGTTTGGATCTTACAGTTCTAAACAAATATTTGGTCGAATTCGTTTGGCTTTCATTTCGTTGATTCCAATCATCGTCTCTGGGAATATCTGGTCGTTCGCTTGCGATGCCAAACAATCGTCGAAGGAAATTAAGTCCAAGGCTCGTGGATGTTAAAAGAGATGAACAAAAGGATGGATCCCCTCAATCAAGGCAAGTGCCTTCTGATGCTTCTATGTGTCATGGTTCATATTCTAATAGGGACGATTGTAATTATAGTGAATCTAGTTGTGATATAATGGCAGATGGCATAGAAAACCTTAATTTAGACTTGAAGCAAGCAAAAAGCGTAAGGCCTACGGCGTTTTTCATAGGTCCAGAGTTACCAAAGGTTGAGTTAAGTTATTTCGACGGTCAACCAAGAGGTTACTGGAAGTTTTTAAGGGAGTTTGAGACCTATGTGGAATCAAGGGTCAAGGATGATGGTCAACGCTTGCTTTATTTGATACATTATTGTAAGGGTAAAGCGAAAACAGCCATTGAGGGTTGTGTTATGTTGGAAGCCTCTTTTGGTTACAAGAAGGCCAAGGAAATTCTAAAACGGTTGTTCGGACAGGCGCATGTAATCGCTCGGGAGACTTTAGAGGACTTATTCAAAACTACAAATGTTGATTACAGTGATCCTGAGCAACTAACAAATCTAGCTATTAGGATGGAAAATTGTTCTATGGTTTTGAAACAGATGAAGTACACTGCCGACTTAAATTCTCTAATTACCTTAGAGAGAATAGTAGGACTCTTACCTCAAGTTATGCAAGCCCAGTGGGCGGACTGGGTGGATGAATTGACTGAAGATAATAGAGAACCAACCTTTGACGAGCTTACTCAATTTATAGCATCCCGCGCGAGAGTAGCTAGTAGTAGGTTTGGACGGTTAGCGAATCGTCCGAGAAAGGGACACAACTTAAAGACAAATTGTCACTTGCAATTGGAGCGGGAGAATAATTCGAAAGAGAAAGCTAAATGCAGTGTGTGTTCCCTGGACCATGCTATTTATAAATGTCCAAAATTTTTAGCGCTTACCGTTCAAGAGAGATGGTCTCACGCGAAGGTTAATGGCATCTGTTTTGTCTGCCTTAGGCAAGGGCATAAAGTTAATGAATGTAAGCTGGAAAAACGTTGTAACGTTAATAGTTGTGAGAAGAAACACCATTCTTTGCTGCACAGCGAAAGTGATAAACCTGGTATCCCGAATTGTTGTGGATTTACTAAATCCCTAAGTAGCCAAGTGTGCTTAGGAATGATTCCTGTACGTTTGGTGTTGGGAAATGCCGAAATGGTGGGTTATGCTTTGTTGGATAACGGGTCTGATGTAACGTTGATAAAATCGAGCTGTTTGAGGTATCTCGGGTTGAAGGAAGACCGAGCGTCAGTGGTAGTAGAGACTGTGAGTGGTAATAGGACAATGACGGTCACAAAGACTCCTTTTGAGGTGTATTCTCTAGATCGGTCTGAACATGTTACGATCGAAGGGGCTCTGATTGTCGCAGATATTCCAGGTCATAAGCCAACAAGGTCGGCAGTGAACAACTTAGTTAAATGGCCACATTTAAGGGATGTACCAATAGGCAACCTAGACTCTGAAGAAGTTCTGCTGTTGATTGGTTGCGATGTACCAGAGGCACACTGGGTGTTAGACCAGCGGTTGGGTGGAAGAAAAGGCCCGTACGCTGTGAAGACGTTGTTGGGGTGGACGGTCTTCGGACCTGCGTCATATCCGGAATACAGGAAAAGAGTTGTCAATCATACCAGTAAGATACAGGCTTTGGAGAACGAAATACGTAAACTTTATGATGTAGAGTTCTCTGATGTTTATTCAAATGATAAATCAGTATCAATAGAAGATAAGGCGGCTATAAGTATTGTAGAAGGGGGCACACGCTTCGAAAATGGTCATTTTGTAGTCCCTATACCATGGAAGGGGAACCCAGATATGAAAGGGGGGAATTATGAAGTGGCAAACAGTAGACTACAGAGTTTGAAGCGTAGATTGTTGAAAGATGACATTCTGTATATCAAGTATACAAAAGGTATTGAAAGTAATTTTATTAAGGGCTATGCGGAGAAAGTCCCTGAAATACAAGTGCAACCTAGTTATCGACCCCGGTGGTATTTACCTCACCATGCAGTTTTAAACCCGAAAAAACCGGAAAAACTGAGAGTGGTATTTGACTGTGCCGCCAAGTTTGCAGGCGTTTCTCTAAACGATATGATTTATCAGGGTCCCGACACAACTGCGGAGTTAGTGTGTATACTATTGCGTTTTCGCAAGGAAGCAGTCGCAATCTCTGCGGATGTGGAAGAAATGTTCATGCAAGTAAAGGTCCCTGAGTCTGATCGAGGAGCCTTAAGATTTCTGTGGTGGCAAGAGGGAGACATGGCGAGGGAACCATCCGAGTTTCAAATGACATCTCATCCATTTGGTGCCACATCATCGCCGTTTTGCGCGAACTTCGCCTTGAATAAGACGGCACAAATATTCTCTGACGGTTATGATGGTTATGTCGTAGATGCTGTTAAGAATAATTTCTATGTTGATGACTGCTTGGTATCCTTTCCCACTTGTGATCAAGCAAAGAGTTTCGTTAAGCAGATAAGTGAATTATTATGTAGGGGAGGTTTTAAACTAAAGAAATGGGTTACTAACTCGGAGGAGGTAAGGACCATCTTGCCCGATGTATGTAAAGAAGAGTCCTTGATAGAAATGTCAGCGAGTTATGACACTACACATCGAACTCTAGGAGTAGAGTGGGATTTTAAACGAGATGTATTCAAGTTTTACTTCGATGCGCCTGAAAGGCCTCTGACTAGGAGAGGGATTCTATCTATAGTTTCTTCTCTGTTCGATCCTTTGGGTTTAATTGCTCCAGTCTGTCTTACTGCCAAGGTTCTCTTGCAAAAACTATGTAAGTCTCAATTAGGCTGGGATCAGCCTCTCAACGAGCCATACGTGTCGGCGTGGCTAAATTGGGTAAACTTTATGCGTCAAATAGGTCATGTTACGGTAGATAGGGGTATCAAGAAGAGAATTGACGAACCCGACGCGGAAGTAGAATTGCACCTGTTCAGTGACGCTTCAGAGATCGGTTACGGAGCAGTCGCGTACGCTCGAGTCAGTTATTTGAAGGAACAACCCTACTGTATTTTGTTATACAGCAAGTCTAGGGTAGCACCTATCAAACAGATCACTATACCGAGGCTAGAGATGGCAGCGGCAGTGTTAAGTGTGAGGCTTAGCGAAGTCTTACGGAGAAGTCTGCCTAATTTTTTCTGTAAGGTAAACTTCCATACAGATTCCATGGTAGTATTGTACTACATCAAGAATATCGAGAATCGCTATAGCACCTATATAGCTAACCGTCTCGCCATTGTGCATCAGTATACGAAGATTGAACAATGGAGTTATGTAAGGTCGTCACAGAATCCAGCTGATTGGACCTCGAGAGGTATACAAAAAATGTCAGATCTTGAGCTTTGGTTCAAATGTCCTACCTTACTGCATGGCGAATTTTGTACAGCAATCACTGACTGTCCGGAACCTACTCCTGACGATATTGAGTTTAGAAAAACTGCCGTGGTTAACTTGAGTAGTATAAAGTACAACATGTCACCTATTCTCGCTTATTATTCTGAGTGGTTGAAATTAGTCAGGGCCGTAGCCTGGCTTAGAAGGTTCATAGAATTTCTGATGGTGCTTCGTTCACCGAGTCATGAAGGATCCGTTCATCTAGGGTGTTTAAAGGTCAAAGAACTTGACGTCGCCAAGCGTAAAATTTTGTTGATGGTTCAGAAAGAAGTGTATGGAGAAATACTTAGTGGATTTAAAACCAATGGTAAGGTAGTTAGTCACAATGATCTGAAGGGCTTATCACCGATAATGCTTGATGGGTTACTCTGTGTTGGAGGCCGACTAAGCTACTCAGATTTCTCAAATGCCTTTAAACATCCGATAATATTGCCCAGTCGACACTTAGTGACAGAAATGATAATTAGACATTATCATAAGGAACAAGGGCACACAGGAACGTCACAAGTACTGGCCACGATTCGAAAAAGGTATTGGATAATAAAAGGGACCAGCACGGTTAAGAGAGTGATAGGAAAGTGTGTGACATGCCGGCGGTATACGATGGTTACAGGGCAACAATTGATGGCACCACTTCCAGCTTGTAGAGTGCAACAAGGATGGTATTGCTTCTCAGCCGTGGGAGTAGACTACTTTGGACCCCTTTTTGTCAAAAGAGGAAGATCACTAGAAAAAAGATATGGGTGTGTATTTACTTGCTTGCAAACCCGAGCAGTACATATTGAAATGACACATAGTTTGAATACTGATTCGTTTATAATGGCCTTGCTACGTTTCATTGGAAGAAGAGGGAAACCTGCAGAAATTTACAGTGACAATGGGTCGAATTTCGTGGGTGCGGTCTCTGAACTAAAGAGATTTGTGCAACAGTTGAATCAGCAAAGGATAGACAAGGAACTGTCAGCTAGACAGATTCAGTGGCATTTTAACCCGCCCTCATCCAGCCACAGGGGTGGGGTCTGGGAAAGGATGATTAGGTCTATACGTAGACTGTTATTGTTGATAACTAGAGAACAGACTTTAACTGATGAGACCTTAAGCACTTATTTGATTGAAGTTGAAAGGATATTGAACGATCGACCCTTAACTCCAGTCGTCCAAGATGCTAACGATCAACTAGCCTTGTCGCCAAACAGTCTGTTATTATTGAGAGAATGTGACGGAATAGTCGAAGAAGGTAGCATCAGAGATAAATATGACAAACGATGGAAACAGGTTAATCATCTTGCTAATGTGTTTTGGAAAAGGTGGTTAAGAGAGTATTTACCGTCTTTACAGAAGCGTCAAAAATGGTTAGTTGAACATCGCAATTTTCAGAAAGGTGATGTAGTGATCGTGGCTTCGGACATATCGACCCGTGGAAAGTGGCCCTTAGGAGTAGTTGAAGATTGTAAAATAGATGACGACGGAAGAGTTAGAACAGTGGTTGTTCGTACGAACGGTGGGTTAGTCAGAAGAGATATACGTAGATTATGCCTCCTGGAAGGCACGAATTAATTCCTCGCGTATCAATGTAAGTAGGTCGAGTAGGCGTACTGTTGTAAGTCCTACTCGTTCCTGTAGTGCGATATGTTATATAATGAACCATGACCGTAGACATCAAGGTAGCTTGTGTGGTATGGAGGGATTTTGGGGGCCGGTGTAAGATCCATTTTGAATGTTTTGTGTGTTTGTGAAAATCCCTCCATGTATATACTTGTACTTTGTTCCTATTGATTCCCTTAGTTGTACATTGTTGTATTTTGATTACATTTGAGTTGTTAATACTTGTATTTTTTATTATAGTTTTTGTTTTCTTACGCATTCACTAAGTTTGTGTTTCTTCCTGAACTGCATCTGTGTTGTTTTACTTGACACTTGTTCTTGGCGGTAGCCATATTGATTTGTTCCTCCTGTTGTGTGTGATCTATCCAGCCAGGATAGAATAACGTTGATTTGTTGTGATTGGTAAATTTCTTGCATCCTTTATCAACTTTCTTATTTATTGTAATTAGATTTGATCAATTGAACAATTATTGGTTGGATAGCTGAGTGGTTATATTTGTTTAGGTAATAATGTACACTTAAATTTATGATAAATTATAGAACCGCTATCTTACCCAATTCCTTTGTTTTGGTTTCAATCGGGCGAGGGCGCGTATCTAACTCATCCAGACAGCTGTCCAGCAGTCCAAACGTAGTTTGGATTTTACAAAGATTTCTAATACAACTTTGGATACAAGTTGGTTTCTATACATTCCTTTATAAAATCAACATCTGTCATCGCCTCAGTGGCTAGTTTCGCTCAATTTCAATAATGCTGCTAGTGCCATTTTTTAAAATAATAACAGAGTTATTACTCAATTTTCATTATTAACCTTGACTTATAACAATGATTAATATACATGATACTAATAGGGACGATATTTTATTTCCAATATTATTTTAATTGTAGATATAATCCAAGGTTTAGAAAAAAATCCGAATTATTTTGTAACAAATTATTCCATTGCAATACGGTTTTGCTTTATCTAAACAATATTTCAGTCATAATTAATTAGTAATAATAACAGTAATAGTGTAGTGAACAAGAACACGAATGGGGGACAATCGAATGTAAATGAACACAAAATTACAGAACGTCTTACTAAAATCTGAGAACAATACAGTAAATAATTAGACTGCAAAATATCAATCCATTTTCTCAGATTTCATTGTTCCTAAATTTTCATACCAATTGCTTTCCGTTCCCTTTCTTTCCTTCTCCATCTTCTACTGAAATACATTCTATTCCGAACTATCGTCATATACTACTTATGTAGATACAGTAGCTCACCCCACACGCACAGCGAGCAGAACCGCCTCAAGAATGACTGCTTTAAATGGGGGACGAGTGTAATTCAGGAATAATGAAATCTAAGAGGATAGACTGATGTTTACAAAAGAAGCAGTCATGTTTGAGACAATTGATTGATATGTTGCAAATTAAGTATTTACTGTATTGTTCTCAGATTTTAGTAAGACGTTCTGTAATTTCGTGTCCGAATACATTCGATTGTCCACACTCGTGTTCTCGTTCACTACAATATCAGCAATAGACTTTTAAATTTACAACTTTTCAGAGGTAAAAATACTACTTAATGTATGTAGGTTATTCTTGAAGTGATTTGATTATGTTCAGTGGGCTCTACATTTATCAAACTATGGCATATATCTTAACATGAAAGCAACTTTCTATGCGTGTCGAATTTAGCACTGAAAAGCATTCTAAAGAACTGAACAATCCGAAATGAGGCTCATTTTTGTATCACTGATTGAGACAGAGCTAAAACGTTTGTTTGAGATGACTTTATACACGGGCAATTAAATTACACAGTTGACATTGGACTATTATAAGTTAGACTTAGATTTGATTGCTTCATGGATTATTTCTTCAAAGATTATTCTGATGACTGAACTGTCATCGATATAGAGCATTTGTAAAACGCTGTTAAATTCAGATATTTCAGACAACCGAAGTGAGAACTCAAAAACAATTGGGGCAAGTTCCTATCATTATTAACAACAGAATGTTGCCTTCATGCTGTCATAATCGATAACTAGTTGATAAAAGTCTCACTGAATTCGTTTACTTTATATTTGAGAATATATGACTAGCCAACGTCAATTTAACTCTTGGTAACCCACAACAACAGAAATGAAAATCTAACGCCATGAAGTGATCAATTGTTAATTGCTTCACGGATGTGAAACATATTTGACGTCAACATGCCTAAGTTCCAAGACCCCTTGTTTTGAGTCCCCCAAAAATCGTAATATATGGCTATAAATCGGTCACAGTAATGGCGTTATGGACAATCTTTGTTTTACTATATACAAGAGGTTTTATTCTGATTGATTTACAAAATGAAGTGAATAAAATTCAAACCTCAAATTTATTGGTAGGATGTATAAAATATTTAGTCAATTTGGAATCTTAACATAACCCATAGGAATCTGATGTTTTGAATGTCTCCATTCGAATTATACCAAGCTGTTGTATTCTCTAACGTTTGAAACATAAATTATGTTCACATTATATATACTTTTTGTAGTAGTAGGACAGATCTGTCTTTTTTTTGCATATGTGATTCCTGTGCAGATTACACAAATATTGTCATTAAGTCGCAAGCATTATCAGCAGAAAGAATGGTGATTAGCAGTGAAATCCAGGACACGATCTCTACTCTGTTTGGGATTCGTCAGCTAGATGTACCTGCATCCAAGAGTTTATTTATCCCAGTACTGGTCGTTTCAAACTGTTGCGGCATCTACTTAACTACTGAGTCTAAATAACCACTGGCTTGTGCAAACAGGGTGAAGATACTGATTATTTCCAGTCTTAAAAACCAACGGGTTGATTCAAAAAACTAATATAAATGACTCAAATTTGATGCTATTGAAAAATCTGGTGACCACTTGGACTCAGTAACTAAGTAGATAACGTGATGACGTTTGAAGAAAACGGTACTGGGTTCGAGTCTCGGACTGAACCTTAACATTGGGAAGCAGGTACATCTAACTGACGAATCCAAAACAGGATGGGGCGCCCCGCCTTGATTCCACCGTTAGTCATCATCCATTTTTGCTCATAATGATTACGATTTTTGGTTTGAAAATTGTCAAATATCATCAACCAAGTTATTTCTCTCATTGTTCAAACTAATATATAAAATCACTCAATCGGGAATAGCTTCCTTTTAAGATCGTTTCTTTGTTTCTAATTAGATGACCATTAAAAATAAATGAGTTTTTTTTAAAAAATATATGTCTTATGAGAGAATGTTTTCGAGAAAATCTCTGTTAGTTTATTTACTTAGTTATTTCTTTCTAACATGTTTTATATTTTCACTTCAATGAGTTCGTTTTTAGAGGTCACTTGTGGTAACAGGGCTAATGAAAGCAAAATTAAGGTCATTCAACATTTCAAGGATATTCTGGTGGAATAAATGGAAACATTAAACGCATAAAAATTAAAGAAAAAAGTTAACAAAATCTCAACTTTCAGTCATCATATATAACAAGACATCCATGTACCACGTATAGTATGAGAAATACACTAGTTTATTTCTACTAAATCTATTTGTCAGTTACTGATAGTTAATATCACAACCATAGTAACTGAATTTGAAGCAAAGTACAAACAATCATGTGAATAATGCAAATGGAAGAAGATAAAGTTTAATGGCAGATGAAGATTTTATTTACCTTTTAAAGCCATGACGACCACTTTAACCAACTCCGCTGATTCATATACTGATTTTACGAACAATTGATGATTGTTAAGAACTTTCGTCTAAATTTGAACGAACAGAAGTTAAAGTCCAAACTAGGACCATCTTTATGGTTCTCTTTATATCTAAAAAGCAATAACCCTTGTAGATTTTATGGCCTACCAAAAATACATAGAACAGATATACCACTAAGACCTGTGTCCACCAATTCGGTTAAAACGCCGGACATTCGCTTTTCGTCCTTTCAATTTCGTTAACAACAGCAATGCTGCAAGAAGACAGTGAGTAGGACTTCCCTGACAGTGGTTTTATGCACGTGGCCATGTGACAGCATTCGAGAGGGAGAATTGACTCTCCCTACCCTCGGTCTAACTAGGGCCTATTTAAAGAAAAAATATCGTTTTGATACTAATTAATTATTGATAAAATACAAAAATGTATACAAATAATGTAAATTATAACAACGGTTGATCGTATTTTCATTTAGAATTGTGATTAATTTCAATTAGATTGAAAGTGGAAATATTTCATTTTTTTTTGTTTTCTGTACCAACCCATATTTTTCACAAAGTATCATTTCAAGAACAATTATAGCTACTCTCCTACAACCAATTTCGATTATGGTTAAATTTTGGTTAAACCCTTTCATTAACTTAGACAATACTATTTGAACGGTAACAATTCGCCTATTTCTTTGTACTATTATAATCACTAAGTTGTTTGGATAAATGTGTACGCTTGATCACATGACAGCCTACGCACATATCTCTCTCTAGCTAACATATATATATATACTCGAATCCTGTTATTAGTCTTTACCTTTCGTATTTGCGCCTTATTCGATTTGACTATAAATTCGCCTTTGTATTCGCTTGCATACACATTCGCCTCTCTGCTTCAAATTCGCTCGATGTGATTGTAGTTGTGTTATCCGTGCTTTCGGCTAATGTACTGTAGTTGCCACTTCTTATTGCCTTCTCATTTCAAACATCGTTGGGATTGATATAATAACGGTTATCAAGGTGATTGATTAACGAAGCTAAGCCACTACACATTATTAAATTGATAAAAGTGTATTTATTTGATTATTTTTTTATTAATGTAAAATATCAGTTGTAGAGAGTCATTGAAAATTAATGAACACTAATAGTTACAGAGGTAATGTAATGGAATATTAGTTATCCTACTATCTATTGCCCTTATATTATAAAATCTTCAATATTTGTACTGTTTAATAACAAATATATTTTTTTAATATCCAAAACAGTAGAACAATTGTATTTCTGACCTTTCGTGACTTGATGTAAGCCACTTCAACAGAGTAAACAGAAACTGAATTAATGCATCATATTAAGTTATGAAACGTCAGAAATACAATTTTTCTACTCACTGGGATATAACGATGTACATGTATACTTTGGCAGTGATAAATATTTGAGCCCTTCATTTATTATTTATATGAAATTAATTGAAAATACCTTAAAAGTTCCATATTTTCTGACTGAGATTTGATCAGTCGTGGTTGGCATAAATGCATCCTTTCAGAATAAACTCTATATAGCCACTTTTATGACTAACAATGGAATCGCGTCTAATAATAATATGAATGTCAAACTTATTATACATATGAGTGTCTCTCTAAGCTCAATAGCTCAGTGGATAATATAACTCATTCAGTCTTCAGAAATAAGGATAGTAGGTTGGTGAACCTGTATTAATCCTGACACATTGCTTTCCAGTGAAGGTCCAGCTTCTCCTTGAAAGTATTCACTGATGGGGCTGATACCACTTGTTCGGGTAAGGCGTTCCAATCATTGATTACTCGATGAGAAAAACGGTACCCCACTTTA